AAAAAAAAAAAAAAAAAAGCAAATACAGTACAGTACTGTGTTAAACATAAACTACTAAAAAATAAAGGGAAAGCAGCATTTTTCTTCTGCATAGTAAAGTTTCAAAGCTGTATTAAGTCAACGTTCAGTTGTAAACTTTTGAAAGAACAACCCTAAGTTCAGAGTTGCGAACATTTGAGAGTTATGAACATTCCCAAGGTGTTTGTAACTCCTGAGGTTCTACTGTATAAAAAAAGTAAAGGACACAGTGGTTACCATTAAAAAAGCAGCATTTGCCAACAGTTCACACGTAGGGATGATGGGACATGGCAGCATCTCCCCTTATACTAAGAAGGGGGAAATAACTGGGTGGCACCTGGATTGCAAATGGTGGCTTTTCAATGGTCACCACTGTAGCATGGTGGAAGGTGGAGAGGATACAAATCAACTCACAGGATCGACGAAGTCGGCATTGAGTCCATAGCAGAGCTTCTGGATCCGAGAAGTGATCTTGTCAAACATGACACGCTCATGGCGCCCATCTACCAGGTGTATAGGAAGAGAAGGGAGGAGAGAAAGAGAGACCGGCCTTTATGCAGCAGCACGAATGACAGCCAGCCACACGCAGCAGGGGTCTGTGGGGCCTCACCACCACCTATGGCCACCAAGTTATCTCTGTGCTCTCCCCAGCACTCCAAGGGCTCTGCTCTGTGAGCAGCACCTGAGGAGCCCAGCCCTAGGGGGATTATTGATGTTATTTGTGGGGTTCCCCGTTCAAGGAAAGGCGGATTGGTGGAGATCCAGATGTTAGGTGCCCAGAGTCACAGGAGGTAGGGATCCCAGTCTCCAGAGGGCCTGCCCCTCCAGTGGTGCTACCGGTGGGGTTCCCCACTCAAGGAGAGGGGAATTAGTAGGGGTCCAGAGTCACACGGAGTAGATGTCCTCACATATGCCAACGGACAGGCCTTGGCCAGGGGGCCGGTGTTACGTTTGGGGGGCACACACTCCAGGGGGCTCGGTGCCGTCTGTAGGGTCCCCCACTCCAGGAAGGAGGAGTTAGCCAAGGGGGTGGGGGGCAGGGAACGGCATTACGTCTAGGGGGTCCCACACTCCAGGGGCAGGTGCCTAGCGCTATTTGGGGGGTCTCCCCTTGGGGAAAGAGGAACTGGCTGGGGAGAGCTGATGTTAGGGGTGTCACACTGCTGGGGTCGGGGGCTCAGCACCATCTGGGGGGCCGCCCCCCTCAGAGCGAGGAGAAGCAGCAGGTGCCCGCTCCGGGACAGGGGAGCTGGGGGGTGTCCGGGGTCCCACACCAGGGCTAGGGGCTCTGCACTCCAGAGACCCTGA